CCTGATCTGTCACAGACATCTTTTGTGAAAAATCCTTTCTTCAGGATTTTCCCCCTTTCTGAGAAGCTGTGGCCTCAGCAACAAAATGTAAACAATGGTTATCTAATGCTGTGGAATGTAACCGGTTGATATGTGATTGGTTTTCTGTAGATGTTTAGATTTACTGACCACTCACGGAAGAGCTGTTCTTGCTTTCTGCCTGGACACAGCACTTTGTTATTCATTCCTTTTCTATTCTTAGCTTAGCTAGCGTTTCTGAGAACTTTTCCTTTTGTTCCTATTAGTATAGTGATAATGTAATATATAGCATAAAATAATAAATCAAGCCTTCTGAACATGAGGTCAACATTCTCGTCTCTCTCTTCACCCTGATCATGACCCTTGCAAGCCCTGTAACAGTGATCCCAGCTCTGGCCCTGATTCTCACTCCGACCATGATCCCAATCCTGACCTGATCCTGGCCCTGACCCTGACCCTGATCCCAACCCCACCCCAGCCCTGGCCCTGATTCTCACTCCGACCGTGATCCCAATCCTGACCTGATCCTGGCCCTAACTTCACTCCCAACCCTGACTCCGACCTCAAACTCGACCCCAGTCCCAACCCTGATCCCGCTCCCCACCCTGATTCTCACCCCAATCCCATCCCCTATCCCAACGCTCACCTCACCCCGACCCCAATTCCCATCCTTAACTCTGCCCTGGTCCCGATCCCAACCCCAACCTCAATTCCGATCTTGATCCCAACCCCGATACCCAGCCAGACCCCGACCCCAATTCCCATCCCAGTCCCTACCCCAACTGCGCTCTCAACCTCGACCGTGATCCCAATCCCAATCCCCCATCCCGACCTCAGTCTCCACCATGATCCCGACCTGACCCCGGTCCCCATCCAAACCTCGATCCCGACCGTGATTCCGATCCCCGTCCCGGTCCCGGTCCTCATTCAAACCTCAGTCCCGACCCTGATCCCGGTCCCTACCCAAACCTCAATCCCGATCGTCATTCCGATCCCATCCCGGTCCCGGTCCCCATCCAAACTTCAATCCCGACCGTGATTCCAATCCCGATCCCAATCCCAGTCTCGATCCCGACCTGATCCCGGTCCCCATCCAAACCCCGATCCCATCCCGGTCCCCATCCAAACCCTGATGCCGGTCCCGATCCCGATCC